TATGTGAAAACTATAAATAATAATAATAATAATAATAATAATAATAATAATAATAATAATAAGAAGAAGGTTGTTCTAGATATAAAAATATAACCTCTCAATGACATCTTGTTTCATTGAAAATAATAAAGGAAGTTGTCCAAAAGGAAAATAGGAAACTAAGAGCCCGAATGATATCTGTTGAGCATAAATAATTGGCTGTTACAGTGAATAAACTAGGAAAGAACAGAACAAGGGGAATATTTCTTATGAATAACTCATCATTAAATAAATTAAAAAAATTCCTCTTTCATTCATGTTTGTTTATATATATATATGCTTTTTTCTTAATTAACTGAATTAGTTTATTTGGGGTATCTTTTATTTGATTTTAGGTTTAACAAAGTGGAGAGGAATGTCACAATGAAGAAGAATAAGGGATTTGCATAAGCATCCTTTATTTCCTTTTTCATAATTAATTAGGATAATTAAGAGATCAACTTTAGGAAAGATTAACATTTTATTAATTAATAAAATATTTCCTTTGTGAGATCCCAATTAATGACACCATAGCAATCAATTTACATCACCTTTGGGAAATACTTGAGGATTGATCTCACTCGATTTGATTGGGTCTTTTATTCTCCACCAACTTTCTTATCCTTAGGCCTCTACTTTTTAATATGGAAGTGCAATAATCTTCCCTTGGATGTCACGGCAGATCTCATCTCTAGAGAAAGAATCAAGCTGTTTCTGGTAATTTTCTCATATATATTCCCCTAGTAAGTGCCAAAGAATAAGCATATAGTTAATTACTACTACTAAGATAACTTTATTTTTTCTGGGGAGGTTAAGAAGAAGTAATATTTCATAATGAAGTTTTTACTTGTGGCTTTGGGTAAGCTTCTTTGATTGGATTTCAATTTAGAATGCTGTGTTTATTTATGGGTAATAGTAATCCTCAAAGGATTATGAAACATGTAAACAATATATTACTTAAAAGTCTTCGGTTTCTTGCCTCATTCCTATTTCTCTTCTTCCCTGCTCTGAACGAATACTTCAATTTTTTAGTACATGAAATGTTGACCTACATTTTTTTTAAAAAAAAACTTATTGGTAGATTATTTAATTTAACACACTATATAATATATTTATTAAAAATTTTTATTTT